CGTTTCTGAAGACCCTGTGAAACCTGCAGTGATAAAAGTTCCCTCCTTGATGAAGGGGCTCTTGAGGGCTATTTAAGCCAAGGGTGAACAGTGACACATTGCTAACGAAGACTTTATAAAGTGGGTTGGAACAGTTTTGTTAGTTAGGACTTCTCAGCAAGCATAGCTTTTACAATAGCTTTGTACTTTGAAGAGTCCCTGTTCCTGCTAAGGGTGGCTGGTTGTAAGAAAGAGGATTCCCCAATTCTATTCCTGCCAATGCTTTGCTATAGTCATGCTCGGATCTTTTACTTACCTTTTTATAACGTGATACGAAGTTTTTCAGAAGTGGAGATCCCTTTTACAGTACCTTAGAGCCCATGAGAACTGCAAATGTTGGTACTTCTCCTGTCTGGGGTTGTGCATTTATATTGTGAATCGAGCTGAAACGTTGACTGGTGTGTGGAATCAAGGTCTGGCGTTGGGCTGCTGAAACAGCAGGCACCACTACAGAGCAGGAACGGTAGTGGAAGGTATGGCAGTGCACTGTCTGAGGGGCTCTAATTGCTGTGTGGGACTCTTGGAATACTGCCACTGCTGTCGTTGGCTTTATTGATAGAATATGACTATGATCAGCATGACTGAATCAGCCCTTACAGGAAGTATGAAAACGCGTATGTTACGCTGACCAACCTGGAGGGGCTGAAATACATTTTCTGGAAGCTAGCAACCTGATTGACAGTCTGAGCCCTAATGGATATTTCTTTCTATTCAGGGAGGTCCCTCTTACTTCCTCGCCTGTCCCCTGGACTGGTGGTTTAGCAGAAGCAATCGAGTGCCACAAATGTTGCTAATATTCTACAACAAAAGAAAATCAACATTTTCAAAGTCAGAGGAGAGGCCGTAGACTGAAGCATAGAAAGGAATATCGGATGATGTGTCAAAAGCTATGTGTGTAATGGCTATGTGTTGCCTGTGTCATCATGAGTCATGTACTGCTCATTATTAGTTTACATGGAGATTAAATTTGCTTGTCCAGTTGTATTATATGGGTGCACGTGCACAAAGAGCACAAATAACCATCAAAAATATCTTTATTTTGTGTATCTGTTCTTTAGAATAAAGGAAGGAAGGAAGGAAGGAGAAATTATTAGAAGAGAAACTATACTGAGTTCTTCAGAATGCCATTTGTCTAAGAACATGAAAATTGGCACCTTTTTTTTTTTTTTAACTAGGAAAAAAGGAAATAGTGCTAATAGCTCTCATTAGCTATTGTTGCCTAGAAAGATCATGTAGCTGTTCTTTTCTTCCCGGGTGTTCATTGTTTGTTTCTACAATAGAGATCTCCATCATGACTCTTCCATTTTCTCCTTATTGTTCATGACAATCATTAAGAAAAAATCAGCTTAATCCAGTCTCTTTCTGTACACAGTGCTTTAAAGCAAAGGGCAAGGACGCTTCTAGCGTAAAGCACATTAATCCCAGTTCTCATTGGAAAACCAGGTGAGAAGGAATATTCTTTGGTGTGTTCAGTCACCAGAGAGATCATAGAAGTCTCTCAGTTAGATTGCTGACTGCTGCTTTCCCTCTTCTCTTCCTTTACATACTCTGAAGCTGAGGAACACCTATCATCCATTGCTATCTTCCAGAGAACCGATGTATCTGTCATCTTTTTGGCATCTCTTTGCTGCTTTGATCACTGCTACAACTCTCTGCGTGTCCCAGTGACTCAGCCTGTCCTTGAGTCCGGTGTCTGTTATTTCTTTCATCTTCTCTGTGCTGTTTTTGACAGTAAGTAGGGATGCCGTGCAGCAGCTGTTTGCTGCTGCGGAAAAGACTGAGGTGGTTGTTTGAAGTTGGCATTATTTTATCCAGGGTCTTCTGTGCAGAGACATACAAGCGCACACAGGAATTTTGGCACACGCCAGATGTGACTGTCCCTGAATGTGATGAGCCTCTATCCAGTGCATATGCGATTGGTCCAGTGACCCCAAGAAATGCTAGACCCACTTACTATGTGCCATGGGATTCATCTGTGCATGAACGAGAGTTGCTTCTTCCAGATGACTGCAGTGAGGCTCTTACTCTCACTCACTAAACCAGATATTTCTCCTTTAAAGCACTGGGTGAAAGATCTGTGTTACGTTATTAAAATAGATATATGAAAATATATTCAGTATGATTGGAAACTTGTTTCCATGTGGCTGTTAGAACTAATGCTGTAGGCATTTGGAAGAAAGATTTGGGATATAAATTACTTATGACTACTGGAGTTTGGAATGAGACATTCCCAGAAGTCAGCACTACTTGCTGCTTTTGTTTCTGAGAAGCGGCTGATATTCGTGGAGATTCCGGACTAGTGAAATTCAGAGTTTGATTTTATCCTTCTCTGGTTGAGATACTCACCATGTAGGAGTCTGGTGTGACAGCTCACAAACCCAGATCACTGTTTCTCAAAGAACTGCTTTGATGTGGGTGTTGTATAGGATTCCTACAATTGCACTGAAAGAGAGCTCAGAGGCACGTTTTATGGCTCCTGATACTCTAAGTGGATGGGTTACACATCAAAATGGAGGTGGAAAAGGATCGCATTCATTATACTCAATCTTGCTTTGCTGATCATGATCTGTTCTCTAATAATTCTTTTGGACAAGAAACATGAGACACACATTTATCCTTCTGAAAAGAAGGTTTTAATGAGCAGGGAAGATGTAGTGCAGGAGACAGAGGGTTCATGGCCTGATAAGGTAGAATACGTGGTTTGCGATGGTTCACAGCTCTGCCACGGTCCTTCCAGGTCATTTTCAGGAAGTCATGTACACACATTTTGCTTCTGTTTCTGTACCTGTAAAATGGAAATAACAATGAGAAGAGCAGAGGAAGAAGTTAATGTGGATGGGGGGAGCACTCCTAATATTTGCTTTCTTTTTCAACTAAGAGAAATCTTTGAAAGGGAGCCTTGGTGTCAAAGGGGTCTTTTTCATGGATAAATAACTCCTTGATTCAAATGTAGCTTTTCTTCTCAGGTACTTACATAGATAGACCCAGTTGGATGTTCTAAGTGTCTCTTGATTGTGTTTGTGGTCTCCACACCTGAGCTGGGAAAGGAAAAGCCAGAATGAATAAAACAAGGGTTTCATATGAGCACTCTCCTGGAAGTGGCATTCAACATCCAACTAAGCATCAAAGCTTCCCTCGCCGTGGCTGGACATTTTTTGCAGAGACTCAAAATCAGCAACCATTCTGCACAGAGAGCTTCAGCACTGGCCAGAAGGAGGGGCCAAATACAAGGGCTTTTAGGGATGTAACTCAGGTCCAACAGGCCTGAATCCCATTCAGACCTGTCTCAGAGAACAGGGACAGAAGATTTTCCAGACACATTTAGCTTGGGATGTTGATTAGTGATAAACAAAGCAGTGAGGAGAAAAGTCTGATCACCTCTTTAGCCTTCAGGGGAAATGTGCACAAAAAAATGGCACAGAAAATGGCAGTCTATACCTGATTCTCCAGTAAGAAAGAGAGGGAAGTGTGTGAATTTGTCTGTAAACTAGTGACAGAAATGGAAACTGAGGTCTTTAACCTTAGCACAAGTTTCTGCAGTTGACCCAGATGTTACCAGTCATTTTATTTTATTTTATTTTGGCCTTGTCACTCCAAGCAGAAACAGTGAAAAAGTGCAAATAAATAATAGCAGTATGAAATTCAGTGATCTGTATGGATATGGTGTAATCTGGAGCATCTAGGTGAACTGTTCCTTCTTGCTTTCCATGTGGCCTTTCCTTCTCCATAGGAAAAAACACCTTTTCAGAATTCTTTCTACCTTTTCCAATGCTTGTTGTAAAGAGCACTTTTGGAAACGTTCGATGTGATGCTTTTATTTGACCTCTTATTTTCTTGATGGCTGGGTGCTGACATCAAGCACTAAATGACCATAGCAAAGGCCCAAGAAGAAGTTGGGTAAAGGGCAGCAAGAACATCAAGAAGAGTTCATTAGGAAGTTGTCTGTGTGTGTCCTTTGGGGATCTTTCTGAATTTCCTGTTTTATTTTAGTTCTCTTGTTTCTAAGACACAGTTCAAAATAAACATGGAAAAAACCTATTGCTTGGGATTGGATGTGCTTTTGATGGGTGGAGGAAGGTAGTTTGACAGCAAAACTGCATAGTTTTCTCTCAGAGTTCCTTGGGATGAAGAGGAGTTCTTGCCAGGCATTGAACTCCCCTCCTCGCCCCCCAGTATTACTACACGCAGTTTCCAGAACTCCTCAGGGTGACACTGCAATGGGACATGAAATTTCTCTGCTTCAGTAAAGTAGTGCATGATTTTTATTTACATTCTGGGAGAACTGGTGCCTTGGAAAAAGATCAGAAGTGTGTTTTTTTTCACAGAGGATGGGTGAACACATCCTAACCTAGGTGTACGCATTTCTGAAATCTGTTCAGAGACATTCTTGTCCACACAAGGTTTGTCCCAGGGTTGGGAGATGTGGTTAACTTGCGCCTTTTCCAGGTTCTTTGCAGAAGTTTTACCAGTAATATTGTTCCATAGGAAGACTCTAGAAAATCAGTATCTCCAGGAATGTTTCTTCTAGTTTACAGTGGGATAAATGGGAGGGGAGCAGAGCAGTAGGTTTACCATATACATACCATTCTCCTAGATGGAGCACTAAAGACCTAAACCTTTCTGCCCACTTTTGAATACATCATTTAACTGCTTTTTAAAAGACTAGCATTAAGCTTTCTCTTGCAACATTCTTCTCATACCTTTGCTGTCTTCTGAACCCATATGCCGTAAGAAAACATTATCAATAAGTATCTTTAAATACTTGTTGTCTCTAGATGTGTTTATGTCCTTTTTTAACTCCTCTCCTCAGCAGGCTGTTCTAGTCCTCACAGAGGTGGGATAAGTTGTTTTGCCTTGTGAATAATCTGTTCTGTTAACCTTTTCTTAAATCTGTGAAATTGCTAGGCTGTTTAAAGTCCAGCACAGAGTGTTCATCTCTCTTTTATTTTGGTCCATACCAGGAAATGCCTACAGAGAATGCCTGGGCAATGGGACATGGGCTTCCAAGATAAACTACTCTCAGTGTGAGCCTATTCTGGATGACAAGGTCTGTATTTTTCACTTCATTCTTCTCAATGACATTTCTTAGCATACATCAATGCAGAGCTAGGCTTAAGGTTAACATACTAATTTGGGACTTCTGACAATTTCCATTTCTGTCTCTGCAACAAATCCTCCCTGTGATTTCAGGCGAATCACTTATCCTCTCTTCGTATCCCCTACTCACACATGGTTTTTAAAAAAGGATGCTTTATTACACTCTGTCCCTGATGACGTATATTTATGCAGATCCTTCCTAGCTTTGTTCAGATCCTACAGCTGCTACAGTAAATGTTAGTAATAATAACAGTAAGACCAAAAAGCTTCTTTGGCACTGAAAAATAAGCTTTCACCAGCTGACTCTACGCTGTACCTATCAGTTCTGAGGTCTCATCAACAACTGGCCTTTCCAGATCTCAATGTCATTTTTCCTTCAGCAAATATGTAAAGGGTCAGCAACAGAAAAATACATAAAAAGTGGACTTGGGTCCCAACTGTCTTTAAAAGCTTGAGCCAGTCTTGCGTTATATAGGAGTTTAGACAATGAAGTTAGCATATAGGGTTAAGCTCCTTCAGAAAGTCTGCAAGCAACTGTGCAAAGTCCTTTTCTTGTCAAATGTCCCAGCTTTTCTCAGAGGCATCGTAGACATTCATCCTCACACAGTTTAAACCTTCAAGCCTTTCAGGGTGTGTTCTCTTTCTCTTCCTCCTGTTTTGAGTGCTATGGTGGGACACAAGCACACATAGGCTTTGTGCTGTCTTGCTGCCAGGGGTGACTTTCCCCTCTAAGAATGAGGGTGGAGCCCAGCAGTTTAGGCCTGTTTATGTTTTGGGATTCATTCCACTCATTCTGTCATCAGAGTTGTGCCATGCCAGTTGCAAACAGAGAGGAGGAAGAAGAGAGGAGGAAGACAAGGTCTCACCTGCTGAGGGCTGCTTGTAGAGCTAATCCAAATTTAGTACTCAGGAACTATCTGGAATAGTGCTGTACCCAAAACAGTCATGATGTGCTTTGGCTGTGGCCCAGCATCCATCCTGTAAGATCCATGTTGTTGCTGAGTGTGGGCTTTGACAAGTGAATCAGAAAACAGATAACTACACACCAGCTGCTGAGGAGTGCCTACTCTTACCCACTAGCTAGGTAATTTGGTGGCAAGAAAAAATGTGCCACTACATGACTGCCATCCAGAGGGACTGATACACATTCAAGGTGGTCTAGCATAGTGGAGAGGCTCCCATGACAGTTTAAGCTGATCGAAGTTGGTACCGCCCCAGTGCAGCCCCTCCTTACATTTCTTTCCCACTTTAATGAAAAACTAACTTTATTCTGGGCCATTTTTTGGGTGAATCAGTTCCCTAAACCATGTTACTGCATTATTGCAGGGGTGCTGGGGCCAGCACGAGCAAGCGGAGTGAAAGCGTGGCTGGGGCTGAGGGGGATAGCGCATCATGGTAGCAGACCATGTCTGACTGAAGTGGATTTGCACTTCTGTGAAATTACCCTCTTAAAAATGAGCAAGAGGGGATGTGTGTAGCAGCCAGCGCTGGTTTAGAGAATGGGGAACAGAGCTAGGCAAAGACCCAAAATCTTAGATGTGGTTCAGCTGGTATGGGAAACCTGAGATGATAGTAGCAGTCTGCTGTACCAGCTCAGAAAAATGCTGCTGTATTTTAATGATGCTCTTTATGTATTTGTCTGCATGACTTGAACAGTTGCTATCTCTGCATAAGCAAATACAGAGGAGTTTTATTTGAAGAGGCTGGAAAAGTGTTGTGACCAGAGGACAGGATTATTTCCTTTACTCTGTTTTTGCTTTTAAAAACTTTGCAGCTATGGTGATAGCTTAAAACTTCTTAAATAGCATGTTCCTTAAACAGATGAAAGTGCAGATGTTCCCCCACCCTTGTTTGCAAAAGCTTAAAAACTCATTTATTAGATCTTCAAAGATTTGCAACAAGCTTTGCAAATATTAATATTTGTGAATATTTTTGAAATCTCTACATAATGCTCAGTGTTACAGATGAATACTTGGGTTGCTTTCTGATCTCAAAAAAAAATAAAAAGAAAAATCCCCAAGGACTTCCATAATCCTCCATTTTGATTAAAGGTGAGATGCAAGCATACATGTGGGTCTATTGTTATTTATTGACTGATCCTAGCAGATGCTAAGCATCAGCCAGGAGTTACACCCTGTGTTTCATGTTTATTTTGAATACAGAAAACAACACTACTGTCAAGCTTGGCCACTCACAGACAGAGTGCTAAAGAATTACATGGTTTGACTTCAAATGCAGTGACTGATACACGGGACAGGAACAGGACATTTCACGATCAGCCCCATGTCCCGTGCTGCATACGTTATGAAAGCATGTTGGTAATGTAGGGAAAATTTTAGGGTTTTTTCAGCTGTGGGTCAGTTTTAGGGGGTATAAGCTCCTGTAACACACATTCACTGGATTACATTATCACATCGTTGCTTTCCTTGTGGTCAAGACCTGTGGCAGTAGCTGATAAAACTGTGCTCTGGGACTGCTTTGCTCCTAGATTCCGACTTTGGCCAGGATCTAGTTGCCTGCATGTAGTTACACGGTGTAGTTTAAAGCACCCCAGAGTGTTTCCTTTCATCTGGCAAGAGGGACACAGGCTTTCTGGAATACCTGTGTCCCTCAGCAGCAGCTCTTGGAGGTCAGTCACCAGGACCAACTAGGAAGCACAGAGTGTCCTGAGTGCACCTTAAGGGGCAGTAGATGCCTGTGTGTTCATAATTGTCTCTAGCCCTTGCTTCAGATACTGGTTCAGATGTTGGGTAGTCACCCAAATGTAGGTGTCCTAATGTCAGACTGAATCCCATCCTCTGAACAATCAGTTAGCTCCTTCTCGAGACACAGGAATCAGGTACAGAAATCATTTTGATCCAACTGGCTGTTTGATGGCATAATGTGTGACAAATGGAAAGCTTCTACTCAGACTACAGCTTCCTGTGTCAAAGGGACCTTTGCTGCATCTGGCACAAATCTGTGTTCTTAGAAGACAAATGAGAGTCTCAGGCAGCAAAAAAAATACGTCTCAGCCTCCAAAAAGAGCTATAAATTAGGAACTTCAGTCTTGTCTGTGTGGCCTAAGGCAGCTGGATATCAATTTGATTTTGCTGATGTTTTGAGGTGGGTTCACGCTGTGTAGCTGAGTTAGCACCATTCTTGGCTTAAGTTAATATATCCTGCTTAGGAGCAGTCACATTAGCCACAGCTATGCAGCTTCCAGCTGGCTCAGAAGAAGAAAGCAATGAACTTAGAGGCATCTTGGGTGACAAGGATACTTCCCAGTTGCTTCTGAAAGTCTTTGGAGAGGAAATATGGTGCCTTTAAACCATACTGGTGATGAGATCATCCTGGCAGCAGGAAGAAATCTGAAATGGCTGAGCTGGGAATGGAGTGCAGAGCCTTGCAGGAAGACACGTGCTGTAAACACTGGCAGGACCTGTCAGGAACTTCTGTTAGAGGGTGAAAGATCCTTGTCACCTGGAGAGCTAAGAGTGCTGTCGTTGGGTGGTTGTTAGTTCAAAGCATTAGCTGATTTGGTTTGGACAGGTTAGTGGTCATGTCCTAGCACAAGCAAAGGAAAAAGTCCTCTAGACAGAATGTCTCTGTCATTAGCCTGGAATGTGGCTGCAGGGAGCCCAGTGTGCCTTAGAGTTGCAAAGCTGGTGCAGTCAAAGACTTAAAGCTGTGCATCCTCAGTTTGCCTGGTAGAAGGTGGCTGGAAGATAACTCTGCACTGATGTAACATGATTGCCATGCATAAGGTTTGCCATAGAAGAGGACTCCAGCGATGTGACCCGCTGTGGTCCAGAGAGCAAGGCTCACAGAGTGTCCAGACCATCTCCTTTTCTATCTCCTTTCTAATGTACGACCCTCCTCCTCAGCCTGAATGGGATTTAAATCTGCCTTTTAGTGAAGTGAAACATCTTCCTGGAAGCAGAGGAATATTGGGTGAGAGTAGAAGGTTGTTACCATTTTAAATGCATCAGTCTTCAAGATGGTGAGACAGAAAAGAGTTACACAATTATTTTATGTGAACAGAGCTTTGGCCAACACATGAGTGATTCTGCGCACGTGTTTTTCAGCCCTGAAGGTGGTGTCTCCAATTCTACCAGAGTTGCAGATTGCATGTAGGCTGGTGGAAAATGATCTTGCCACCCTGTCAGTTTAGTTGTTCATAGGCTCTGAGGCAGTTCTTGTTTCTATGATATTTGAATTTGCCTTCAGGAAACCTTGTTAGTGTCAGCAACAGAAAAAGTAAGTGTCGTGCTTGTTTTTCCTTTAGCATCGGTGTGTCAAAGAGGAGCTTAATTATATGTCTTTCCAATTAATTTTCTTGTGTTTTGAATCATACCTTCTTAAAACTTGAGTGAAGTTGAAATAGTGGTTAGGAGTCAAAGGAGGGAGCTGCAGTGTCAGATTCAAAGAGCAGGATCCTTGGCCTGGGAGAAACATTGTCCTCTTCCAGAAGATTTCTAGCACTACATGAGCAATTCTGGACAACGCCGTTAGTCATATTGTTTAGTTTTAAGTACTCCCGCAAGAAGCAGGGAGTTGGAATCAACGATCCTTATGGGGCCCTTCAACTTGAGATATTCAATGTTGCTGCGAATTAAGTGGAAAAGTGAATAAGCAAGGCAGTTTGCCAGAGCATTAGCTGAACAATACAACATCAGGTCAAGTGTGTCTTCTTCCCCTTTAGGTGTCTCTGTGACTTAAGGATAAATAAAACTCAGTGTGGAGTTCAGATCTTGTAGGTTTGGTTGGTTGTTTTTTTTTTTTCTCCTCGAGGCTATTCAGAAAACGGGCCTGTGCATGAGGAAGTTTGTTTTAGGTGATTTTATAACAGACTTAAAAATACCTTACATGGTTGAGTTCTGTCCAGGAACAGCACATTACTCCGTGTGCTGAAGATATAGGTAGGTTTCATTATGAAAATTATTCCAAGAGCGCTTGCTCGCTCTCTGGCAAAGTGCTGGACGATGCTATCTTCACAGAACAATGGAGCAGATTAACTACAGCTGCTGGTTGAAGTTTCATCCAAACGTTCATTCACTGACAAATTCCTTTGAGTGGAATAAAATGTTAAGGGAAATTGTTAGAAAAAAAACGGAACAAAGGAAGTTCAAACAAAATTAGAAAACTGATGCCATTTTTAGGATTTTACTTCTATATTTTTATCACAAGGAAGGAAATTTAGGTGGTTCATTTTCAGAGATCTCATTCTTATGAAGGAGGACAGCATCCCAAAGTGGGGAAAGATCTGCTTAATCTTAAACAAATGCCAAAACTAAAAAATAAACAAATAAATATCTTTTTTTCAGGGGGATTTATTCTTTAAGTAGCAAACCTCTGTCAGTTTTTAATCAGCTTCAGTATTTATCTGAATAGTGTTTTTCTACTTCTTCCTATCCATCAGGCAAAGAGAGGAGATGCTTCTCTTTTCTCTGAAGCCAGCAGCAGCCCACCAATAACAAATGTTCCAGTTACTTCAAGGTCAAATTTTGGTCACATCACTAAATTCACTGATTTAGGTGGGAGCACTTTTGTACTTAATGTTTTGTTTACAGGATCAAGAACCTACCAATAATCTCCCCAGCATCCTAGGAAATAGACACTATTACATTTAGTTTCACCACATACTTGGGTTGCTGCTAAAAACAACGGGATCTCTGGTTCATCAGGCTCTCTCAAAACTGAAGGGACACCATCAGATTGCAGCTGTTTCAGTCTGCCTTGGTTCTGCCCTCAATTTGAAAGATAAGGATCATAGCTTGCAAGGAATGTACCTCAGAGAAAAATCTGCCTGTAAGGAAAGGGCTTATTATTTATTTTTACTGACAACTGATTCATTTTTGTATGAAAAACCAAACCATTTGAGTAGGAAAGTAGCATAACCTGGCTCATTAAGACCATGCAGCTTCCTAGCAAAATAATGTTTTATAACTTTTGAAACTGTGAGAAGATGTGTCTTTGGTAGCTTTGTCACTCTAAAGCGACAAAGATTTAAAATAGTCTAATAATGAAAATAAGAAATCCTGAGGAAACTGAAAAAAAAAAAAAAGGGGGGGGAATAAAAATAGCTTTTTTGCCGAGATTTGTAAGAAACTGTGGACAAATCCCAAACTGAAATGAAACCAAGCCTGTACTTCTGTGCATGGGCAGCACGTTTGGCTTATACATAGGCATCAGCCCTGGGGCTATTATACCATTTTAAACTCGAGAAAAGTAATTACTGTTTCCTAAACTGATTAACTGTTCCTTAATGTCAGTGCTTAGAGAGTCATGCTGATTTAATCATGTTATCTCTTTACCTCCAGAGGAAGTATGCGCTCCATTACAAGATTGCTCTCATCATAAACTACCTGGGGCACTGTATATCAGTAGGGGCCCTTATAGTTGCCTTTATGCTTTTCTTGTGCTTGAGGTGAGTAATCTGTTTGCATGCTTCTAACTTGGTTGGGTGTGTGACACTTACTGGGTTACTCAAGCCCTCTAATAACACTGTCCAGGTTGGGCACGGTCTTGAAATATGGTCACGGCTTTTACACTCTCAAGCGTGTTCATGGTTTCGTTAACTGATGCAGTGGATGAGCTGTAGTGGTGCCTTCTGTGCGTAGGACCTAAGGCCTATTTGTATTCAGGAAGAGAGCTGAACGTGATTTATTGATGCAGCAAAAATTTCAGTGAGAACAGAGTGCTTCGTTAAGGGAAACTGGGATTTGGGTGTGTCAAGTTGCAAGTTTTGGGGGCAGGTTTTCTTTTTTTGTAATGCAGTGCTTGACATCATAACGCGTTCCCTGACAGGTAATGCACAGGTCTAGGCCAAAGGAGATAGAATGAAATCTTTCCATTTTGCTTTCAGTTAATTTCTATTTTTCTTGCATTAAAGAACTTAGAAGTTTTCTTAAATAACAAAAGAGACCTCTTTAGAGGATCTTTATCCCCACCAGTGCTCATTAAATGATGAAAACAAATCAATGAAACTGCATAGAAACCCTTCCCTTTCCTGGTTCAACAGTACAGGAGGGAGTTTGTCAGGTCAAATGGGTATGTCAGTGAAAGAAAGTCTGTAAAGAAGAGTTAGAGCTACAGGGAGAAGAGAAGTGACAGGAGGGAAGGAAACAGTGGAAAGTAATAGGTGGATGTGCATCAGTCATTGTATGTATTGCATATCCATGGCCTGAGTCACAGGGATGTATTTTAATAGGAGTGGCCTGGTTGGATATTTCTGTATTATTTGTTGGATTACTTGACTGGTATTTCTGTACTATTTGTGCTGTCTTGTCTGGGAGCGTTCAGCCTGAACTCAGAACCAACTGCAGTAAGTGCTATGCCCTGATAATCCTTGAGAAAAATCTTATACCAGTAGCAGAAGAGAAACAGGTGGAGGACCCTCCCCCTCACAGGATTACAGCACGATGATAGACAGTGACCTAAGTGAAAGAATTACTGCTTTCCTAGAGTGGAGCATCCCTGGAAAGTCTTATGCTAAGTCTTCCTCTTGAGCATTCCTAACAAGAGGGTCTTCCTTATTATCAACAGGAATCTTTCGCCACAGCATCTATAAACAGAATAGTCTATGCTAGTGGGAAGGAAAAAAAGGTTGAAACATTCAATGGGAACATTTATGGTGCATCAGTTTAAACTTTCCTGTCAACGTTTTTACTGTGCCTATAATGCTAATTCCCATAGTGCTTGGAGACCTGAATTTACTTATTAAATAAAGAATTCAAATTATTCATTGTAACTATGATCCCTGCTTTGATGCTTAATCTTTTATAAATGCTTAAGTAAATAACACAACAATAATGAGATAACATGGTGTAAATGAATCCAGCTTCTAACACAGAAGTGGCCTAGCTGATCTCTTTTAAATTGTTCTTCTAGTATTTAAACATCAACTTTAAGATTTAAATTTTGCAGTCAACTTCAGCATTAGAAAATGGCTGCAGGAATTAAGTACTTCCCTGTACATACTGTGAATCAAGATAGTCCATCTTTTAAAATTCCCACTGTATAATGCAAAAAATAGCTAGTGTCCAGCCAGTGTTAACATGAGCATGAGCTGCCTCAGTGCCTGTAGAGTTACACCTGTTTTCAAAAGTTCTAAAGAAGCTCTGGTGAAGACAGCCCAGATTCATGTTCCATTACAGATTTCCCTTACACAAATTCTAGGTTATGCACATCTTCATCACACTTACCTCTTCAAAGTGCCCCAAGAACAAATCAGTTTTGACAATTGAGTCCTATTATTTGGGGCTGTTTTTCCTGTTTTATTTTGGATGGAAGAAGACATCTACTAATTGGGAGAAATGAAAGAATTCAGATAATTCCTGGCTAAAAAAAAAAAAACACAATAGAAGACCCTGAAAGCTAGATCTGATAGTCCCATGAGTAGAAATCTATCAGATCCTTATTCCTGCCCCACGCTAACCATCTGCCTCGCTCCATGAATGTCTGCTGAGGATGAAGATGGAGGAGACCTCCAGGAATGCTTAAGTTCTACAACTGCTCCATATTTTTATGCTTCTCACCCACCACCTACTTGATTTTCCTTTGCTCTGCCAGTGCAGATGGGGTCCCAAAGGCAGTTCTGTCTGAAGGAATAGTCTGGAGCACACCTGCTATATTGGAACATAACTGCTAGGAAGGCTGTTGAGATCTTTCACACTGGAGGTTTTAAGAGCAGGTTAAATATCTGGTTGGCATGGCAAAGAGTATTGCTGTGGTGATCAGCTCGTGAGATGGGTGTTCTGCTTTTGGCGATGAGCTTCACCATTGCTGATGCTGCCCCAGCACAGGTAGCTGCTGTATTGATGGGAAGCTTAGTCCTCAGTGGTGCTGAAGTGGGAAGGGGAAAGAACAGGATCTAGTCCCTATTCTTCCAAGTCTATCCTGTGTCATCTTGTCCCCGATTCCTGTCTTCCTCAGTTCCTTATGCAACCCTCTGTCCTCCATTCACAACCCACCCTCCATGCCAGTAGAAATGTTCTACTGTCCTAAACTCTAGGGAACAATGCACCAAAAGATATTTTGAGGGTCAGAAATCTCACATGTAGCAGCAAGTAATGACATCATCTGCCATCTGTGTTTATGTTGCCAGGGGACCCCAACACAACTGGGAAGGGAGGAGGACTCAGCCAGGGACTCTCTTTTACTTTTAAGACCTATTCCAGCCTTGTTTCCTCCAGTTCTGTCACATATGAACCAACCCCTCTTTCTTGGCTGTGCAATGAAAAATAAGCAAGTTAGCATTTCGGTTAGCACCTAAATAATAAAAAGTGAAGTCCGGCTTCTGGGAGAGGGCTTGATCTTTGCTGGCACGCTGACTGAATGGCAATGAGTCATTGAGATAGCTCCTCAAGACCTAAGTCAAGGATAGCTCCTCAAGGTCTAACCGTAGGTGGTCTTAAAAGTGTGAAAGCCATGCTGTCTTTACAGTGCAAAACAAAACAAGCACACAAACAAAAAGGAATATGCTGAGAAGGAAAAATGAGGAATTTGTGCATAAACCACATGTGCTCTAAAGCTGCATTGATCTCCAGCGCGGGATCTGGAAACTTGCTCGGGGCACTCACAGGGCATTGTTAAATGTATCTGCACTACTGTGAATCTCTTTGTGTGTTCTCATTAACAGTAAAGTTTTGATCCATCCCTCAGGTGCACACAGGCTCTCGTTGTCCCACATAATCGCATCCTCATACTAGGAAAGCAGAAATTTTCCGTAGGAGGAATCCTGCTAGCAGTAATACCAATCAAGCTGAAGGGAAAAAAAAAAATAGTCAAAAGAGTTAAAATAGTTCTTTTTGTTCTTTTGAACCATATTTTTTCCTTTACTTTTGCTGATAACGCAGAAACCCAAATTGCTTTGTCTTGGCTTTTTTCTTGTTAGTGTGCTGTCACACCAGCTTCTGAGGTGGAATAAGAGTCCTTTGTAAAACTCCTGCCTTGTTATTAAACAATGTGCTGGCAATGGCCAGCAGTGACTTGACTGGATTCAATTAGAAGATGTTTTATTTGTGCAGTAGTGACCAAAAATGTGTGGGAAGACAGGTATTTGTTCTGGGAAGCATCTAAGTCCCTGCTGAGTTTTGAATCCAGTAAGGAGGGATGGTGTTGAAAGGAAGACAGGCTGAAAATTAAAAATGACATGTCCTTCTGCACAGTTTGCTGTTTAAAGGCAGCTCTAAAAAACCCCAAATATTGGCATAACATCTTTTGTCATTAGTATGGTGGTAACGAAAGCGAACTGAGGTTTTGAGGGAAACTTTGCTTTCCTGTCACCCCTAAATTTACCTCTATTTCCTCTTTAAAACATCTGACTTTCTTTTCTTATAGGCCTGAGGCAGTACCCCTTTTCTTTCTCATGATTACAGCTAGATTTCCTAAATCTCACTTTTTTTTTATTTTCCCAAAAGATTAAAATATTTTTTTCTGGAAACAATATAGTCACTTTTTTTTTCTTTTTCTTTTTTCCCCCTTAACCATATTCCAGGGTTTAGGAGAGGGAGATCTACTTTCCTTTATCCTCCCCTGTTCCAAGCTCCTTTGAACTGCCTCTTGATCTTCAGTCTGGTGTGCAGTTGGTGAGACTGCTGTTAGACAGGCCTGTGTTAGTAAGAACGGAAGAGTTTGGTTAAATGCCTTGTAGAAACCTGTTAGAAGAAATGTAGAGCATCCATACAAAGCAGGTTTCATAGAGCAAAGTGATCTGACACCTATCAGAGCCTAGATACTGAGGATATATCTAGCAGGTAGGTGATCTGCACAATTAGGACTGGTTTGCACTTAAAAGTCATGTGGTCTCTGATGTGATTAGAGCAGAGCAGATTCCAGATCTAAGACACAATCCTCCCATACATACCTTTCTGTTGTGGAGCAAGGGGGAAAAGAGCAAGTCCCAGGACAGGGCATCAACTGATTCATGAGTTCATGTCATTTTCCCCTTCATTTCTGAGTTAAGTCTATTCCTCTGTCACTTAGAATAGCAGAGCCTTAAACAGTGATGCAGGCACATGGCATTCTTTAAACTTCATCATAAATACTAGTAACTGCGGAGCATGTGTTAGGTGGATGCAATGGCTGTAGGCCTGGGGATGGCACTCTGCCCCACCCTTTAATAGTCCATAGTAAAGTTCTCAAAGCAAGGCAGGAATGAAAATGATGGAGCTCTGTAAATAAGCACATATGCAATGAGATAGTCTTCCTCGAATACAAAACATCTAAAGGTCCTGTACTGCCTGAAACCGTGTGAAGTGTCGCATCTCATGAACTCAGATAAAGGACAGAAACACATTTCCTATTGATTAACCTTAGGCGGGTGTCTTTGCTTCCCACTGCCTTTACTCACCCCCATCTGATCTCATATCCGTACGACTTGTTCTTTAGACTCTTTGTATAGAGCCTACCTAAGGCAAAACCCACGGAGGAGAGCAGAGCCCTCATGAAGGCCTGGAATAA